TTTGGTGACTAACAGCAGCAAGGCTTCTTGGTTGTTTGCTATAGGTTCCAAGTCTTCCTTAGGATGTGTACACATGGTTTCCCCACCTTTATTGGTGACCTACAAAACAAAGTAAAGGTATTTAGTTTAAAAGAGAATCTGTCTAAGACTTAGATAAGGAAAGAGTTTTGGAAATCTTTATTCTACTTCCCTTTCTTTAGTCTTAGTTGTAGTTGATACTTCTTTGGATGGGAAGTCCCTAAAGGGGTTGCCATCACTTCCCTTACCTCGACACGTAGACGGAATCAGAATAAAACTTCCTCTACCACAGAGCTAACGTTCGACGATTACGTTGTTAGGAATACTGAACTACAGAGAAAACCAGAAACACTCAAACTACTACCACCCACTTAGATTAACAGAACCAAAGAGTTGCATGCAAGACTTAACTGAACGTACTAGAGAAAAAGAGACTCACCAGCTCAGAATCATAAACCAGTCGGTTTAAACGGAAGCTCTTGACGCCGGAAGTGCTTCTACGGTGTCTGAACGGAGATCGGAGAAGAGAAAGGGTAAGATTTCTTAGAGGGAAGGGAGAGCTTTTAGTGAGAAGGAGGAGAAAATGAAATTTCGGAAATCAGAGAGGAAGATGGTTGCATGCAGAGAATTGTGTAAACTTTTGAAACTCAGATTTTGCTTCTACTAACCAAAACCGAACGTCCAATTCCTTGCAGTCACCTGTTTTCCATTCTCTGAAATTCTAACTCTCTTCTCGACACTTGGCTTCCACTAAAAAGGGTTTTGGAGTGCGTTTTTAATGAGGTCTGACACTCACCAACCAACCTAATTTAATTTAATTATTTATTATTTTATGTTTTAATATTGTTAGTTAATATTTTTTTATTATATTGTAGATGCGATAAAAAAAAGATTTTTCAAGAGAGAAAAATATTATAGATTTATCTATTCAAGACTCTAATATTATAGATGGACAAGTAATACAAAAATTATCAATATTAAAAACTTATTTGTTCACTTTTTGTGCTTGTTTTTGGATTACGCTTTGATTATATGATATATTTTTTTATTTTGAATTGTCTTTGGAGTTTAACATCATTTTAGAGTAAAATTTATTTAGATTTGAATTAAAAAAATTATAATTTTTTATTTTAAAAAAAATTTATAATTAAATGAGCTAGTGAGCCAACCTGTTTAACCCACCAACCCATGGTGAGTCGAGTCGGGTTTGAATTTTTTTAGCTCGCTGATAAATGAGCTGGGTTGGTTTGTTCACTAAGTGACCAACCCGTGGTGGGCCGGGTCGGGTCGAGTCAGGTTATCCGTTTTGACAACTATAGTTCTACAAAATGATTTGGATTAGCTACATGTAAATTGGTTGATCAAACACTATTGTAACCTCATAGTCACTATTAGAGACATTGTTGGTGTAATGAATTGTTGAACATGCATGACTAGTTGTCAGATGAAGTTCTCTTTTTCTCTGTCTTTGTTTTCAATTTGTATATTATCATAAAATCCTCCTTGAGAATTGTTTATTTTTTGTTTCAAAAGAATGTTATTGTCCTATATTTGTTGTTGTCCTACATCTACTCGCTCTGTCTTTGATGATGTTTATGACACCTCCATGTTCAACAAAAATAAAATATAAATGAAAAAATAGAAAAAATTATACTGGATGAAGGGAGTGTGACTGAAAGCTATAAGGAGATGGGGTGATGAATGTGGATAAAGGAGATGAGAAGAAAATGAAATTGAAGGAAATATGTGGGGAAGAAAAAATGAGTGTAGATGAAGGATATGAATGTGGGTGAAAGAGGTGTGGATGAAAGAGGTGTGGATGAAGGAGATAAGTATGATGAGATTATATAAAAAGTAGAGAGAAAATTGTGAATAAGAAGATTAAATATGTGCCTTTAAATTAAAACTAATCTAAAATTCATATTTGTTATTCCGAATGTGTATAGATTGTAAATACCATCTAAATCAATGTTAACTTAAATAAATATAAATAATACAAATAAAAATATTAGTGTCAACTTATCCAATGCTAATCCAACACTAACATAAATATTTATTTATTTAAAAAGTTAAAAGTAATTTTATGTATTTTTAACTTATTTTTAAAATTAAACTTTTGTGTTGTCTTATAGTTTAACCGATTTCATTAACGTCTAGTGTTAAGTGAATTCAATTAGGGTTTGGTAAGTTGACTTTATTAGTGTTGAACATTAAACTAACCTTACTAGTGTTCAACTTTAAACAAACACTATTGGCAAATCGACACTAAATACTAACACAAATTTATTAACAAATAATTTTATACTTTTTTATTTTTTTAAAATTAATTTTTTGCATCATGTAGAATCAAATAAACTAACACTAATAATATCAAAATTTAACTAAAGCTAATGTTTAGAAGTTAATTTTAAGTATTCATATATTTATTAATCATCTTTCAGTCGTGCTATAATAAATTCTTGAAAATCATAAAAGCGAAACACAATTTCTGATGAATTATCATCACGCCTAGCCTTCAAAGATTAATATAGGGAACTAAACAAGATTGATAAATCAAGGGATAACGTGTTTATTAGCTCAATCAATGTAAAGAGTATATAATTCACAAGGTACAAGTCAAATAGGTTTTACAACAAAACACAGTAAAACCAGCAAAGTTCAACAACATACATGTGTTTATATATATATAGAAGATATCTACGAAAGTCGTAATGACTGAGTCGAAGCTAAGAAAAGTAGGGTGGAAAATGTGTTTCTGTACAATCAAAGACCGAGGAAGGATCAATGGCAAACTGAACGACAGATCTGAGATCATCCCAATTTTCATTGGCAAATGCATAGTCTTCAACATTGTGATTCCAAAAAGTTGGGTAAGGGGTTGATGGTGGTTGAAGATGGGGTAGTTGCCCAAACTGCCCAAGAAACAAGTGTTTCTTTTCATCAACCTGTCCAAATACTGGCTTTAGTTGTTGCATCATATCAGGGTCTCTGCAGATCAAATATGGCTTGCAGTTCTCAGAATCTAAGGTGCTTGTGTTCGAATTCACAGTGTTCGATTTCGTCAGGGCTGTCGTGTCTTTCAAATTTGGACTGTACTTTTTGAAAGATGGGATGCGTTTGAAGATCCTGCACAGTGTCCACACCTCCTGCAACCACATTAATCACAAACAAAACAACATTTTAGGGTTTATGTCTTTCAAAAACAGACACATTTTTCTTTTTTTCTATGAAAGAAGAGCATTAACAAAAATTGAAGACTGATTCCAAGGGACTGGGTCATGCTTAAAAGTACTATTAACTAATTAATTAAAGGGTAATTGCATGTGTTTTGTGTATATCATGAAAGTAACATTCAACCAAAATGTCAGTGTTCAAAGGGGTTGACTTGGCCATACCCATAAAGTTCATTATATGGGACCATTCAAGAAATAAATGAAATTAATTAGTTTCACTTTGAGAATCAATAGGGAAGGGTCCCTTTAAAGTATAGGGGAAGCAACCACCACAAAAATTCCTATATATCTTAGTTTATGTGCATTGCATCAAAATTGTAAACATAAAAATCTATTAAAATTGAGTGAAAATGTTTTCTAACTAATTAGTTATACACAACTGCAATAATTATAGTTTATATTTTAATGTGCTGACAAAAAAATAGTTCATATTAATTACTAATTATAAAAAATATACAGTACAACTTTAAATATATATATATTTATCTATCTATACTATATCTCTTATCCTATATATATATCCTCATGTATGTCTGTGTTGTATGTAGAATATAGAAGCTTTTGTTTCCTTCTGGATTGCGAATTGAAATTCATTTTTGCTCTGTATTTTTTTAGTGAAAAAGGTCATTACATGCTAAGCATCATAATAAGATAAAGGCTTAATAAATTCTCTATAAGCAATGTTATTTTTACCTTTTCTTCAGTGGTAGCAGCTATTTATAATTTATAAGCATTTAGAAATTTAATGAAAAAGATTAAAAAAAATTTAATCCCAACATGCATATCTCTACTACTAGATATATAGATATCTTATCTAATTATAACTATTTATATATATAAGCTTAATGAAGAAAATGCTATTTATTTATTTATTTAAATGTAATTATTAGGCTTGAATTCTTTCTGGACAACCTAAAATACAAAGTCTGGTTTGATTTAATTTCTTTTCCTATTTTTTTTTTCATTTTTGTTAAAGGAGAATGCAAACGAAGTAAAACTTTTTCAATAAAAAAACTCTTCAAATAAAAATTATCTTTTTAATGGAAATAGCTTTCACTTTCTACTCTCTATAAACCTAACTGAATCAAACAATGTTTTAGTATATAACTAAATGATTAAGTTAGACCTATTGAAAATGGGTTCATAGACCTTCATATCATCTAATTTATTTCCATCTAACCTTAAATACCAAGACAAGGAAATTAATTTTGAATGTAATATCTTTGACAAAACCTAATAATGCACTTTTCTACAAAACCAAACTAAATTAAGTGGTCCTTACCACTACGCATTTAATTTTAACTGATCGATTCAAATCATAACACAGTAAAATGTTACACACAGACAACAATAAAAATTTACACGAATTACATATAAAAATAAAATAAAAACAATTATGCAGAAAAGGAGAGGAGACATTACTAAATATGTGAATAATATTATTTTTTTTCTCATTTTCTTTTTGCAAATTAATAGTTGACTGTCTCAACGCCTATCCGTCCAACTAAATTGTTTTTCATTTTAATTTGTCAGAGTGATGTTATAGTGAATGTAATTAAGAGATTAAACCGTAACTGGCTAAATATCTGGTTCTTGTCAAATCAGATTTGATTCATTATATGAAATAAATTTGTTGAAATCCAGACTTTTTTTATCAACAAAATAATAAAAAAAAATTATTATGGGAGTGTAAGTAATTCCAATCCACTGTAAGGCCACCATAAAATGAAATAATATTTTTAATTTTATACATCTATTAACATAAATTATTTTCATGCTACTATTAATTATAATTATTATTAGTATTATTAATTACAATGTGAAATTTTATTTGACTAAATGTTATTATAATTAAAAATATCACATCTTAGAATATTAGTTGAATAAATAGACTAATTTGATCAATATGAAAAATGAAATAGAAACTTTGACTTCATTCACACGTTATCGTAACTGTAGAAGAAGAAAAAAAAATGAGAGAAAGTACAAACTCTCTGTTTGACTACACATGGAGGTCAATTGTTTCCATCTATCTATACAACATGTATCCAATGATTTCTAAGGAAAAACTATGAGGTTTTTGTGCATTTGTTTATCATTGTTTCCCTCATAAAATTGATTTGATTGTGCTACATATCAAGAATAATTAAACATTTATGGTTGGAAGTTTTCCCCTTTAAGTGTGTAATATTTAAAATAGTTATTGTTGATCTCCCACTTCAACTATGTCAAGTCATTCTACATAGTTAAATACAAATTTTATTTAATTATTTAGTTATGTGAAATTGAATTAAATTTAAAATACATTTATTAATATAATATTAGAGTTTGTTTAACTTTTGTATATTATTTATTATCGAATCTCTATCAAATTATTTATAAATATATAGTTTTGCATTTGATATGTTTAATTCTTAACTTTATCTATAAATATATAATTTTGCATTCGATATATTTAATTCTTAATTTGAGAAAGTATTATCATAAGTAAAATCAAATTATAATATATAAGATGGTGTAGATTTTAATTTGTAAACTAATTTTATAAGACTGAATCAAGTATATATATTTTTTTAATAAATTTTATAAACTTTAACTAACCATAAGTAAAAATACTTTAAAATATCCTAAAATATTAAAGAGAGATAGTTATACAAATTGAAGTATGGGTGTATGACATATGAAGAAAATTTCTATGTAATTTACATATACTATTTTTTGTTTTAAAATTTAGGCATGTCATGGACTTAAAACATAGCTTTAAACCTAAAGTAAGGAGAAGAAGATGTATATATATGTGTGTATAAATAAAATGACTTACAGCTTCATGAAGGTTATTGGTAGTATTAGCAATGTTGGCGGAGGATTTAGCATTGGGTGGAAGGCGAAACTCATGCATCATCCAATCAGTTTTGGTGCCTTTTCCAGCACTTCCACGATAGTACACCAAAGACTTCTTCAGGCCAATGCAGTCATGGGGTTCCTTCACGCAGTATATCGACTTGTCTATTCCTGTGGCTTTCCAAAACCCTGACCTAGTTACCCTGTTTGGCCTCACACTGTTCCTGTACTTCCTCCCTCTTATGCAGAAAAAATACCATTCTTTGTCCCCAAATGAATTCACCTCTTCATGCATCAATTCCCACAACAAAATCATCATTCAAATAATTCATTATATATATTTATGCATATCATGCACAGATATATCAGACATACATGTATTAGACATGTCAATTAAAAATAATAAAATTAAATGTATTAAACATTTTCAACATAAAAATTTATATATTATTATTATTGTAAAAGTATTATTGATTTATCAATCAAATATTTTAAATTATTAGATATGTGTCGGACACGAATTCCTCACACAAATTAATTGATTTCAGCATCATAAACCATGAAAAGTCAAAGTAGGGTTTCTTATAGACAGATAAAATTGCTACCATGTATGATAAATTGATCTTCTTTTTATGATCATTCTTTTCAAAGCTTTTATCTTCTTTTACTAACATAATAGCATGAAAAGTTTCAGAAACATCGAAATAGAAACAGAACTTTACGAACTTGCTGACTGCAGTTTTCCTTCTTAAAACCGAAATGGTAATTAAGATTGGATATACAGAAGGTTGGGAAAACTTACATCCCAAGAAGCACTTTTTTTCAAATGTTCTTTAACGAAAAAGACAAAGCAAATATTTCTTAAGAAAAAGTAGAATCAAACAACATTACAAGCACTTTCATTTATCTTTATTAAGCCAAAACACTTCATATATCTCATAGTTTGATTCAATATAACATTAATTTGTATCTTCTTTCTCATACAACACTAAACTCCTTAATTATTTGAAAACAAACCTTTGATAAAAATTCAGCATACAAATGAAGTTCTTACAAACTCATATAGTGGAAGCAGATCTTACTTGGAAGATCCCATGGATCATATTTGTAGATATCAACCTGTTTGATGAGTTCAATTTTGAGAGGCTTCTTTTCCACCTTTCTATGGAGATAAAACCCAACAAGTTCTTCATCTGTAGGGTGGAATCTAAAGCCAGGAAGCACAACTTCTTCACCCTTTTTGGTATCGTCAGAGTCTTGTACTTTAGCATTCATTTTTTCTCTCTACTACTGATAAAGTTTGTTTCTTTAGAACCACAAGCCAAAGAACTTTTCATAAAACTGATGGGAAGATCCTGAGGTTGCAGAATTCTCCTCTTCCCCACATATTTATATACACTTTTGAGATATTATTTGGTTTCTTTGTTGGTGTTGAATGTTTTGGGAAGTGGAGTCAAGTCAAAATTTTCGATTATGAGATCATTATTAATCCGTAAAGACAAAGAAAGAGGATCCAATGCTGACAAGTTTATGAACCACACTACAAGACATGTTGATTTTTCTAGAGTGAGGGTGAGGGTGATGCATGTGCATGATGGGTGGTCCTCACTATACATGCATACCATCATGGAAAATTAACCATATTGATGGTGAAAAGGCAGTGACATGGGAATTTTTGAAACCCTGAGGTTTCACTGCCAGACCATATTGGAAAGTCAACAAGAGGGGGGCACCATTTTGACTATTGGACATATGAATGGAATAAATATATGTAAAACAACACTGTCAATTGATGAAAAGTCAAATAACATTTCAAAAGACATCAATACTGTTGTAGAAAAAATTCATGAGCTTTGTCACAAAAAAATTGAGAGGATTCATGCATTTTGGGATCAACCATATTCATTGCCTCTCTCATAAAGACTGTGTTGTCATAATGAATAGTGTAATTGTGTTAACTTGTTGTATGTTATTCAGTTCGTTTGAGTGATATATATTATGGAAATGTCTTTTTTTAACAATTCTTTTTTAACAATTTTTTTGACAACACAGACGTGGTGACTTATGATGGGTTGGTTTCAAATATTTTTCTAAAAACAAATTCAAACAGACCAATAAATCAATGACATGTGGTCCATTGTTAAAAAATTATTAAAATTTGTTGTTAAAATATCAGGATCCTATATATTATAACTTTTTCACTGTCTGTATATGTTTGATTCTTTATTTTTATTTCATAACTTGTTGGAGATATTATGTCAATTAAAAATAAAAAAAA